TGTTGAAGACTCAAAAGCAATGGCACTATTTGGGCTTCAAATGTAGTCTTATTTATTTTCATTAGTAACAACTACAAGTCAGAAACATGAATTACCGTATTTACTCAAATCTAAGATGAGGTTTCCTTCCATGCAGCATGGGAGGGAACCTCTCATTTTAGATTTGAGTATGGATCATACATGGTACAGGGGGGCACATGGGGAAGGGGTGCACAGTGCTGGAGGGACTAAAGGGAAGAAGTGTACAGTACTAAGGGGAGAATGAGGCAGGGGCGTGCAGTCTGGGTGGCAGCACAGGGGAAAGGACAGAGGGGGCAGTGCAGGGCAAGGGATGCATGGAGCATAGGGAAAGGCCCCAGGGTAAGGTGGGGGAGCATGGAAGGGGCACAGGGAGTGGGGTGTGCAGCACAGGTGGAAATGAGAGGGATAGGGTGCATGGTGCTGGGGGGGGGAACATGGGAAAGGTGTGTGCAGTGTAAGAGGTGAGCACAAGGGAAAAGGGCAGCAGGGGGAGGCACCGAGGGGAAGAGGCAGCAGCGGGGCAGGCACAGGGGATACAAGTAACAAGGGCGGGGGCGCTGTGAGGCAGGCTGCCTATCCCCCAGCTACTGTTGTCCCTGCTACTACGTCTCTGTGGCAGTGGTGGGGGAATGAATTTAACACAGGGGTGCACACTTATTTCATCTGGAGGAACGCTTAATGAGATTTGACGAGCTGTCAAGGGCTGCAAGAGTAGCCCCACCTGCCCCCGGTTGCCATCTTGGGACCCAAAGTCCCTCCCCAACCCCTGACCTTTGGCTCTGGTAGTCCCTCCCCTTGCCCCCAGAAATACTCTTTTTTGGCAAAAGGTTTTTGCCATCTTAGAACTGGAAAAATACCGAATCATATATTATAAACAATGTTTGATTTTTGGTATATTTTATTGTAAAAATATTTTTGTCCTTTTTTTTTTTACATGTGTTTGCATAGTGTATATAGAGCCAATCACAAAATAGCTCAAAATAAAGTCTTAGGCTTGTATATGTATGTGGGGTGTAGTTGTGGGGGCTGGATGTGTGGTGGGGTGTGAGGGGATGTGGGATTTGTGGAGGGATGTGGGTAGGTATGGTGTTTGAGGGAAGATGTATGGGTATGGTGAGGTGTGCGTGGGACATAGACACACACATGCACGTGTGCCCCGGGGGGGACAGCTCTCCCACACATTGGCAGGGCAAACGGGCCCGCTGAACCCTAGGGCTGTGGCGGCTGCTGCTGGCGGTGGCTTATAACACCTACAACCCTGGTTACTGGAGCCTCCGGCTCCACCCTCCCCTGCCTGCTGTTGCTATGGAAGCCAATGGGCTCCATAGCAACAGCTGCAGCTGCAGGGCCCAGGCTGGGGAGGTGCGGTATACACGAGCTCCTGGGGCCACCACCTCAAAGCCCCAGCATTAACACAGCTTTTCCATGTAGGGGAGATGGTTGCCAAAGAGCTGGTCTAGGGTAAGCCATATGCACATGAGCAAGCGAGCAGGCATGCTCTCCTGAGCCAGTCGGCACCCTCCCACCCAAGAGCCTGGAGCCCACACACCCTTTGGCTCCTTTCTGCCACTGCCAACAGCGTGCTCCCCAACTCCAACCCCAGCCCACTCTGGATTCACCCCAGTCAGAGAGGACCAGCTGGAACCCACGCGCACAACCCCAACCTAGCCCACCCCACACTTGCTCTAGACCACCCAACCACGCTGAGCAGCAGCTGGGCGGAAGTTGCTGCTGGCATGGGGCAAAAGCACCCATCTCCCACACTGGTGTTGGGCCATTCTTGTTGCATCTGGCCAGAGCCCATGCTTAGGCTGCTCTGCAGCTTCTCTCTGCTGCTGTCACTGCTGCCTCTGGGCCACCCTGCAGGGCAGCAGTGACAGTGCAGAGGAACAGCAGGGCAGCCCAGGCATAGACTCCAGGCAGCTGCAGCAAGAACAGCCCAGCAGTGGTGAGGGGCTGCTTTTCACCTGTGCTGAGCAGCAGCTTCTTTCCAGCCACTGCAGCTGCTCAGCTTGGGTAGGCAGTACGGAGCAGACACGGGGCTAGCCGGGGTCAGGGCTAAGCGTGCGGGTTCCCTGCCGGTACCACAGGGCTGGGGCCAGGAGCTGCTACCACCTGGGCTGCCTAGAAAGGAAGTACAACTGTGAAGCTGCCCCAGCCCTGCTGCATGCTCAGGGGGTAGAAGGACATGCCATGGGTAGACAGCACTTGGGCCAGGCGGGACCAAGTGACTTGTCATGGGCCGTACAAACACTCTCCACAGGCCGCATCCGGCCCTTATTTTGCCCACTCCTGATTTAAGAGGATCCTTCAACACCCAGATTGTTGACATGGAAAAGTAAAAGCAACTTATAATTTTCCAAGTCTAAAATCTAATAATTGGGGAGTCATCCTAAATTCAGATTTGTCCTGGATTCAGGTACACACAGTATTCACTAAACTGGGAACATCAGTGAGGACAGAAATGGGAAGCTGACAAACATGAGGCCTATAGTTAGAAAACAACATAGGATTTAACTTGAAAAATTCAAGATAATTCACTTGTTAGAAAATAATTTAAAATATAATCTACAATCATCTAAAATACCTATTCAATGGAGGGCATCAAACTGAAATGTAACAATTAGAAGCTATGATAATGCATACAAATTCATAATGTGACACAGCAGTTGAAGAGGCCAATGTACTTTTATGCAGATTCGTAACTTTGCAGAAGGCATCTAGAATACTTCTTCAGCATGTAGCTCTAGTTAGATTACAGTTCCATTATTTCCTTGTCAGAATAATGGAAATTATTTCCTTGTCAGAAAAGATAATGACAAAATGAACGAATTGTAGAAATAAGGCCACAAAAATTATTCCTGACCCTAACTTGACACATTAATTTCAGTGGAAGCAAAGTAAGTTCATATTAAGTACTATACAAAAAGCAATCTGAAATCACTCATTAATTTGTATTAATTTCTCTGAAGTTTTAGCTGCAGAAAACAGGATAAATAGGCAACAGAGGGATAAATTTAACTTTCAATTGAAAACCCGATCTTAAAAATACTCCAAGGCTGAAGGAGACAAAGTTTAATTCCCTCTACTGCAGGAGGGAATTCAAACATACATCTTTCTCCTCCCTTAGCTACTAGAATACAGCGTATTCTGGAGCCTGGTGCTCCCAGTCTCTCTTGCCAGTGCTTCTCCAATTTGTATAAAATACTTATGCAATGAATCAAAAAATGAGTAAGAATGACTACAGCTGGTCATCCGAGCATTCATTTGGGTGTAGAAAACCCTATTGCTATGAAGATCTACATAGATTATACAAAGCAAAATTGTCTAAATCTGACAGAAAGCCATAGGTCCACTTTCTGAAGCGCTAGTCTATACAAAACTACGCTTGCTTTCAGAAGATCACAGATTTCTGAAGGGTACATGTTCTTGAGAGGAAATTTTTATTAGATGAACCCCTTAACTCAACTTGGATATGTGTGAAAAAATGTGATTTGAATAGTTATACAGTATGACATTTTCTATCTATTAAATAAATACACCATAAGTAATCTACCACCAGGCTTACTGAAAACATGCCTGGCCCAGAATCATTATAGAGTAGGAAGTGCTGGCAGCTCCACCTAAGATCATATCAGTAATTTTTGCCAAGCTCTTATCACTCGGGTAGAAATTCCCCTCTCACTGCTCTCCCAGTAGCAGTACAGCAGCAGCTTGACGGACGCTGCCACTCATTTCCCTGTGGGACATTTCTGGGATGCTTTGCCACTCTGTCCATGCACAAAAGGCATACCACCTGCGGTGGAGGGTACAGGAACCATAGGGGGAGGGGCTCTTCTGATACAGCTTGCCCGACTTCCCTCAGTGATCTCCATGTCTGGATGATCAACTGGACCAAATTCTGTCGAAGCACTGTGTTCACAACCATGCTTTTGGAGTCAGCTCCTCTGGTCCTGGAGAAGCTTTCCTAGATTTGTGTTAGTCCATGCACATACTGAAATGCTTATCACTAGCTTGCCAAATAATACAGCACTTTTATTGTAATGATCAAACATGAACATTTTCACTCGGGGCGCACCAATATATCGGTTGGCTATCAGATCGGCCTTGTTAAAAAGGAGAAATGATGTTATCAGCTATTGAATATTTTGGGTCATTGTAGCCGATAAATATGGCCACGTGCCTGGAGCACCCTGGCAAGCATTGCGGGCTCCATGCCCCACTATGGGCCTGAGCGCATGGCAGATTACAAGTCCTGACAAGCAACAAGAGGAGAAAAGGGCACTGGGACGCAGTCACAGGGCACCATGTTCAGCAGCAAAAGGACTGTTATGGGCTCCTGCTGCTGCCATGGCAACACTGCATGAGCACCATGGCGATGCTGGCCTGTGCGTGGCCAGGGAAGGTGCCCTGCAAGGGATGTCCTGCTCTGCTGGGCACTGGGTGCCTTTGCAAAAGCAGCTCCTCCCCAGTGGCCACAGCTTGGCCATGTGGGGCCTGCTGGCACCAAGGCAGTGGCTCGCTCTGGGCTCCAAACGCACCCGGCACTGCTGTCCACACAAGGGTCCACCCCGCCTGCCCAGGGCTGTGCAGGGAGCCAGGCTGCGCATGACAGGCTACACAAGTGGACATAAGGCTGTCACTGCCTTCCTCCTTGAGGGCCAGAGCAGGCTGGGGGCACATGTAGGCGTCACAGATGCAAAACAAACCGACAAAAGGTTCCTTGATAAGGTCGGTGTTTTAAGATGCCTTGCACTCTAACTCGATATCGGTTACTGGATTGGAATCGGTCCACACAGCTGGTTAATCAGCCACCCCTATCGCGACCCACCGTTTGGGAACCGCTGGGCGACCTGACTTGAGAGCAAGACGTCAGGAGGTCCAGGGAGGGCCACGGCTCTTCCCCACCCACGATGCGTAGGAAGAGGAAGGGGAGGGGGGAGCGGTTACCTGTGGCCCCGGGCGCGGGGCGGGGCCGCGGGGCCCCGGGAGAAGGAGCCCATGGACGAGCTGAGCGACGCCTCGTCCCCAGAACTGGCAGAGCGCGGGGGGGTGTCAATGGGACTGGCGCTGGAGGGGGCCGCGCGCCCGCGGCTCCTGGCGGCCTCGGCGCGCTCCATGGCGGGCGCCAGCACCTGGCGGGGCGGAAGCGTTAGTGGTGTTAGGCAACCACCTGTCACGTCACTACACACAGCCCCACTGCGTCACCGCACCCGCCAGTTGCCCCCACAACCACAAGGCCGCGTGAGGGCCCCGCCGCTTTGAAACAAGGCCGCGCTCCCATCGGCCCCCGCGGCGCCGCCAATCGCCGCCCGCCGCGGGCTCCATGGCAACCGAGATACTGCGTGTGTAGCGTGAATGTCTCCTTCCGCGAGCCTGACAAGTAGTCCCTTTCCGGACGCAGGGACAAGCGGTCCCGGCCCGGCAGCAGCAGGGACTGCTGGGAAATGGAGTCTGGCTGTGGCCGTTTCGCCCGGCCCTGGTTTAATGGGAAAGGTAAGTAGGATGGATCAAAAGAGTGTAAATAGCCGTTACTTACCCTACAAAGCGGTCTTGCTCTGCTATTCAACATTGTTTAGGGGCCCGCCGGTGAAAAAGGCTGGAAACCACTGCTCTAGTCCAAGCCCCAGCCTGAGGCAGGATTATATCCCTGTCCCAACCATCGTCTAAACTCTACAGGAGGACATCTCATGAATAACTACATAAATTAATGAAAATCCCTGTCACGCCCCGCCTCCTGCTTTCCCGTGAGCTTTTGGTTAGACCTTGGAAATTCAAACTGTTTGTCACTGGTGCATCTTTGGTCTAACTTTTTTTAAAAAGTGATGTTACCATGACAACGTCCAAAAAAAAATACTTAAAAAAACCCCTAATCCTGTGTGATGCACACAACTGCTGACAACTGCTCAAATCAAGTTATCTATATTTACCAGGAGCCAAGACAACTCTGAATTTAAGATGATGTCCCACTAATTAGATTCCAGACGTGGACAAATTATAATTTTTACAGTTGTCCATGTCTAGAATTTTGGAGGGTCATTTTAAATGTATCCCCCAACTCCATTGCTAGAGTGGGGAAAGCAGAAGCTGGGGGGCGGGGGGAGCAGGTAGCAAGAGGGGACAGGCAGCCTCCTGATCCCTATCCTTTATTTCCCCCACACACTTGTACCTCTGCTGCCTGGCCCTGATGCCCGTGCCCTGGCACTTGCCCTTGCTCCCTGCTGCCTCTCCCTCCCCACCTGTCCCCCCTACTTCCTCTGCTCCCCATCCCCCACAGCTTCTGCTCCCAGCAGCCTGTACCCTGCAGCTCTGCCTCCGCCACACAGCTCCTGCCCCATTCCTGCTAGGGCGAGAGCACAGGATAGCTGTCTCAGCCCAGCCACGTAGCAGTTGTGGCAGTGGCAGCAGCTCTGGCTTCTGAGGACAGACGTAGCAGCAGAGGTGGGGGGTGGAAACAGATGGACAGGGGAGACTCTGGGGGCACTTCTTCCGTTGCTGCCAAGTCTGTGTCCAGAGTTGCGGGGCAGGGGGGGGAGGTTGGCAAGCAGCTGCCATGGCTCCAAGCCCAGGTCAGGGCCAGTCAGAGCTACAGAAGCTGCCTGCCCCCCCCACACACACACCCCAGCCACCTTGTACTTGGAGATGACCAGTTCCCCACCACCACCACCATTAAACAGGGGGTCTTTGTCTTGGATTTGAGTGAATATGGTATTTAGTATTACTAAATACAGACATCACCTTTTTCACACAATAACCCCCACTGTCCTCCAGCGAGGATGCCTTGTGCATATAATCCTCAATTTTAGCAGATCAGATAACAGTTATGTTGTAACAAAGAAAACCCTATATTGACATGTCACTAATTGACTGAGCAACATTAAACAAAAGATGACTTCCCTTTGATCTGAGGCCAGAAACCCCAAAAGCCACCATTTCAGATTTAACATACATACCACGATTTCCATTTCTCACAGATCTGCATAAATTTGACACCACCAGAGGTTAACCTTTCTACTTAGTGCGGGTGCATACCTGAAAACAATTTTCATGCTTCTTTGTTCAGAATTAACATCTGATTTCATTTGTAGTATACTTTACCATTGCTCTCTGTCGATGTTCTTCTGGAAGAAATAATACTTTTAATTATATTATACTACATTCTGAAAATGTTTATCCTCTTCCTCGTAGATCCCTGGGGACACAGCACACGTGTAACAGTTAATGCTTATACCCTGGCAGCATGAGAGCTACCTAGCCCCCGTCCCCTTATCAGCTCCATGCCTCCCACTCCAGTGGAGATGCTACTGCTATGGGTAGAAGTACAGACACAGCTAACAGCCACGGTCTCCCTTACACAGGAACATCTTTACAGCCTACAATAGCTGGCCCATCACCCAGTCGTGCCGCTTCCCATGGCCTCTGGAAGATCAAAACACGGAATCAGGAGGTGACAAAGGCATCAGTCAGGGGGCTGCATTAATCTCTTGGCTGCACACTGTGCTGACACCCCCTTCCCCCACCTTGCAACAAGCAGCACCTTCCATGGGCAGGACCTGAGACTAACAAAGGGACCAGGGCTACCAGGATGCAACCCCCACAAATCCTCAGCTGCCCTACTGGCTGCAAGCAACTCCATCTCCACTCCCTACAGCCAAAGCATCAAACCTGCCCTAACTGGTCTGCCCTTCCCCAAGTGCTGCTAATTCTCATTGCTGGCAGCAAAGGACAAAAGTGGATGCAGCGGCACTGCATTTAGAGTGGTGACCAGAACCCTAGTTACCCACAGCTAGCCACAGTATTGGGAGATAGCCCCTTTTAGATTGAATCTCATGAGATCAAGATCAACCTTAGCTACGTCTTTAAGATGCTCTGACCCGCCACCAAAGATTCTAGCACATACACAATGCCAACTGCATTATGTCGTTCTATGGAAAATGCACTTCTTAATTTGTTCTTCTTCCATTCCAGTAATATTTCACTACCAGGAAAGCCACTAAAATTGAATTGGAGATAAGAATAACAGTTGCTGGGTTCAGCTATTGTTTTCATTGCTAATCTCATTTAAATATGAAATGAAACAGCAGAGGTGGATGTCAAAAAAATGACACGCCTTTCATACAAGGCAGGCAAAATCATGGTTCAGTACATCTGCAGCTTCACAGAAAACCTGGTATCCTAACATCTCAATAGAAGTCACTGAAGAGCCTGAAACATGGCAGCAACTCCTGATAGAGGAAAGTCTACATTTTTGAAGAATCCTCTCATACTATTTATATGACACTTCAGTTATTTAAGAGTTGCTACCTACTCAATGCAGCAGCTAGAAAAATAATATTGGTTATAACCTGGATTTAGAAACTACTTGATGATAGCTACAAAAACAGTTTTGTTCAGTCTGATTACATCACCAATGAACAGTGCTTCTTGTCTAAACAATTCAACCATTTGTTATAATGATTATCCAAACTGGGCCAACAAGACTAAATTCATGGGCATTTCATCTCTTCAACCAAAATGGAGGTCAAATCAATGACAGCTGCTTCTTCCAGGTTATCAGTTAGTTAATCGTGATATTGGACCAAAATGGTACCAAAATCTTACAGTAAGAGAAAACTATGTCTCCATCACAAATGTAGACACAGACTTCCATTCCGTTAGGGAGCTCCTCTATCTACATCTTGTTACACTATCTTTAATGGATGTTGAGTTGTCTCATCAGATACACTAAGCTCACTGGCTAAGTAGAATCAAGGCCTAAAGGAAATGTATAGTTTCATAGTTCCTAGGGTCAGAAGGGACCTGAGCAGATCATC